TCCTGCTGGGCAGCGTTCGGAGGGGCGTAAGGAGACAGTGCTGCGTCCTGTTACCTGATGTGTGCACTCGTCTGTCTGCAGTTCTCAGCCCCAGACAGCTTAGAAAAGCCTGTTCTGTTTATGAGCTGAAATGAAATTTAGTGTACTGTTTCTTTGTGTTTTGCTGTGACCTTGAGTTAGATCCAGCTCCTTCTACCTTTCACATGCAGCACTGGTCTGGGCTTTGGAATCTTGTTCTGTCTGTGCACCAGACCAGTAGCATTAGCTGTTAGTCGGGTACCTAACTCTTTCATACCTTTTCTTTTTTTGGCAGATATGGTGTTAATTGTATCTGACTTTCTTGTAAGGTAGCACAGCATCAACAGAGTAAGTGCTAAACAACTGGTGTCATTATAAATGACTCCTGTGTTACAAATCTAGCTGTGAAGATGGTCCAGCTGTATTTCATGCATTAAAATGCTAAAAAACTGACAGCATTGTTCTCTCCCTCCAGGTACCAGGATTATTTATGATCGTAAATTTTTGATGGAGTGCCGCAATTCTCCAGTTGCCAAAACACCACCTTCTGACCTTCCGGACATTCCAGGTGTTACAAGCCCAAATGTGGAGGAGTTGAAGATCGAGAACAACCATGTCCAAAACTGTGATGAGAAAGTGAGCACAGGTGAGTGCGTGGCAACAAAGTGAAGTGTGCTGCTAGTTCCTAGAAATACAGAAGCTGACACATGGAATGGAGCCAGGAGATCCCTATAATGGTCGATACTCAGCTAACTTCTTGCAAAACCACAGTGTGCTTGATGTTGCTAGGTAGTTAGGTTCTTGTGGTTATTAGGTTCTGCTGTGGTCCCCAGCAATGTGACTTTTTTTCAGTTAAGTGTAATTTGTTATAATCACTTAATTATTGTTATTTAGTATTTGGGAAATCGCTGCTGGATTAATAGTCCTGGGGAGGGAGAACGGGTGCAGCTGTTGCTGCCTCTCTCTATCCTGGGCTGTTTTGCAGCTGCTTTGCATTTTTTAAAATGGTCAGGTTACAATTCAGAGTAGGGTTTGTTTGGGGTTTTTAATATCAGCCTGAGTTGTAAATTCCTTCTGACTTTTTTGGTGCTGAGGCTTCTGGTGTACAAATGAGCTCAATTTAAGTATCTAGGATATAATACCTGATTTGTGTATATCAATTATCCAGTATCTGTTGCTGTCTTTAGTGGGCTCAGTGGAAGCTTGCAGGTGTGCATAAGAGAGCAAGGTAGAGGTTAGTCCACAGGAGAACAGAGGTCATTGGCCACTTTGTGAACACTTCACTAAAGGCACTGTAGTAGCAAAATGAGCAAATACTGCTCTTGAACAGTTTTTTTTAAAGTTCTGTGAGGTTACTTCTTGAACTAGCCTGAAACTACCAAATATTTTTTTCTCAAAACAAAGATCTGAATGCTCATTAGTGGCTTCCATGCTCACTCTAAGGAAAATCTTTCCAGACTTAATATTGCATCATGCTTTTTTTTACACACTGTTGTGACCTTTAGTGGCTCACTGGATTCTCTGGCAAACTGAAATGCAGGCTGCGTGCTGGGTGCCAGCTTGGTTGTGACTCTTCCAAAGAAGCCCTGTCCTCAGGAATAGATCGTCGCTGCTCACGCTGGCATCCTGTCAGATTGTGAGCTGTGGTAGCAGCTGTACAGATAAGCTGTGAAATGTGCATTTGTGTCTTTGCGAACAGAGGTTTATACCAGTGATTGCTATCAACATTATTCTTTACATTCCTTTTCACAAGGAAATCCGTGGTAGAAATAAATTATTTAAAGGGCATCTCTACCTCTGCTCTTGTTTGTCTGCAGGTAAGATCCCCTCTATGGACAGAACTTACATTTTGCTTGTACAAGATGTTTTTCATATCAAACTTGATGCATGGATGCAGATTTTAAGTCCGAACTGCCACATTTCTGAAGTACAGCTCATGATTGTTGCTTCAATTAAATATTTGGTATTTAATGTGAAACTTTGAGGACTCATTTGTGGGTTTTGTCCCTCTCAACAGGTGAGGAAGAGCAGTTTGACATGGACATCTAAAGCATGTGCCCTGAGAGTGCTTATCCAGTGAAGAACCAGGACCTTGTCTTGAGGTTTTCCACCAGCCAGGCTTAAAAGTAGCCCATGCCTTGAGTGCCTTCCTGCTTCCTGGGAAAGGCAGTCTATTCCCTTCCGAGAACAGAGCGTGTCCTGTTACAAGGACCGAGTCTCAGCCTCTCCGTGTGGGTGCGAATACACTAGTGCAGCCCCTGCTGATGATGGGCCTTGAAGTGCCGGAGGAGACACTCTCAATGATTGTTTTTGTTTCCAGTTTTATGCTTTTGTTAATCATTTTAATACTGTAAAAGTTACAGAAATGCAATATGAGGGAGAAATAAAAATCCTTTTGAGTCTCCTGGTATGGAGATTAATGCAATAAATATGGCTTCTGTCCTTTATTCATTCCAGCAAGAAAATGCCAACCTCTTGCAGAAAAACCGGTGGGGTGGTCCTGTGTATAGCCTTGAGATAAAAACTGTGCTTTTGGCTTTCCCCTGAAAGACAAAGGCTGAGCTGCCTTAAGCCCTCTTGGCAAAACATCTCTGTCCCATGTGCAACACCTGGTCACTGTGGGAAGTTTCAGTGTGCTCTGAGTCTGCTTCCAGAAATAGCAAAATCTGTCTGCTATGTGTTTCTAGCTGGTTCTTTGCAGGGTCATGGTGCAGGTGTCTGAGCTACTTTTCTTGCTGTCCTGATGAGGGGCAGGGCTTGGGCTACAGGTGGGAGCAGCTGAAATTGGTTCAGTAGGAGCCACCTGTAGCTGAGCACTGCAGAGAAGAGGGGCCCTGACTCTGAGCTGCCTTCTCCTGCTGTGCCAGGGGAAAAACTAAGCCTCCAGCATCTGTGCTGTGGTTCCTGCTTCCGAAAACACCAGATCTCTTCCAGCATGCAAGTGAGTGCTAAACTATGTTTCCTGATGGGTTTTTTTGATCTATCCTGAAACTTTAATGCTGTTTTATGCTTGTTTCTCCTTTTTGTAACTTGGTGGGCACAGTTTAAGACTTCACACTCACCTTTGGAAAAGAGGGTTTAACTGGGAGGTTGTCTGTTTGGTTTTGAGAGAGGAATTGTCATCCGAGAAAGTAGTTTTACTGCGGGAGTGTTCAACTTGGGCCCCCAGAGCAAGTATCTACATTTCTAGTCTCAGTGCAGGTTAATAAATGTGAGCAGTCTCTCACATGCTGCCGAGTTACTGCTTTAGAGATGCTGCTGCTGGTGGTGTCTTGTGGTGGTTGAGGCATCTCCAAGGAGAATGCATATGGCCTGGTTTTGGTTACAATAGAGTTCACTGTCTTCCTAGTAGCTGGTGTAGTGCTGTGTGTTGGATTTAGGATGAGAATAATGTCGATCGCACGCTGATGTTTTAGTTGTTGCTGAGCAGTGCTTACACTAAGTCAAGGGCTTTTCAGCTTCTCATGCTGGCTGGCCAGTGAGGAGGCTGGGGAGGGCATGGGAAGCTGGGAGGTGGCACAGCCTGGACAGCTGCCCCAAACTGGCCGAAGGGACACTCCAGACCATACAATGTCATGCTGAACATACAAACTGGGGACAGTTGGCTGGGGGTGGCGGCTGCTGCCTGGGGACTGGCTGGGCATCGGTCAGTGAGCGCTGAGCAATTGCGTTGTGCATCACCTGTTTTGCATGTGCTTTTGTTATTGTTGTTTTCTCTTCCTCTTCTGTTGTATTAAATCATCTTTATCTCAACCCCTTTTTTCCCCCCTGATTCTCTCCCCCAGCCCACTCCCAGCAGTGAGCGAAGGGCTGTGCGGTGTTCAGCTGCCTGCCGGGTTAAACCACAGCAGCGTGTTAGGACATGGGCTGAACCTCAGACTTCCTAAAAGACAATGAGTGTCTGTTCAAACCAGTCTTCGTAGATAGCATTTAAATATCCGCTAATTAAGCTCAATTGTGACATTATGATATGCAAGCCTTTAATAATGAGTAACAGAAGAAACAGACAAAGCAATTGCTACAGATAAACTTGCATTTTTTTACAGATAAGATTAAGTGTTTCTCTGAAACCTTAATGGGAACAGATTCAAATTTATTGCCCTCAGGTGTCGCTTTATCAGTCTTGCAGCTCCGTACCAGTTGCTGGTTTTGTTATGATGTGCGTTTAGAGAGGAGCTGCTATCGCTGCTGTAGTATGTGCTGTGACCCGCAGCTGCGACCGACTTGTCTGTGTTGCTAAATGAATATTTTCGGGTAGAAATGGCACTACCAGATCGTGCTGCTCACCGCATTGTGCGGCAGTTCGGCTTCGGGTGCCCTACGAGCCCCGGTCACCACGCATCACAGCAACCTCCAGCTTCATTTTCTGGGAGAGGCAGCAGAAGAGTTTTTAAGAAAACTTCCTGTGTTGATGTTAATTTGTCCAAAGCCGGTTACTTTCGGGGAGACTAAAAAACCCATGACAGACTTGTGGATTGGTGTTTGCAATAGTTAAGTCTATATGCTCCGTGCTGAAGCTTGTTTTCCTGCTCTGCCCTAACCAAAATGTTTGTAATTATTGCTGGCACATGGCTTTACAGCTGCCAGGGTTGTATTGATGTGACCCTGGGCAAACAGGTTTCATCGAGAAAGGACCTCTATAAACAGCGTTTTACCCCCTCACTCTCCTGAAATACTCTTCCACAATCACGACACCCGCTACCCTTAAAGTACTGGAAAGGGGAGGGCTTTCTGCGTGGCTTCCCGGGCCCTGCCGTCGCTCGTCTGTTGGGCAGGCAGCTGCCTGCGTGGCTTTGGTGGCCGCGGTGCTGGGCTGGCACAGGACCACGGGCGGGGGCTGCTGTTTGCAAAGCAGC